GATTTAAGTAAGAACTATGATAGTGGTTCTTAGACTCTATAACTAAGGAATTAGGAATCGATGTGCTTAGCATGAACAATGTGCAAGTAATCTCTTTACCCGATCGTCAAATAATCGATTTCGCATTGGTATAAATTATCATTATCTCAATATTGATTTAAGTCATGATGAGGAGTCATCACCTTGTTTGTTTTTTGCGGCAAGGCCTACACACTGTCAATAATTCGGCGCCCCGGAAAATGAGCACCGAACTCGCACGTACTAAAACCACAAGGTCTCTAGTCCAACCCCGGGACTACGTAAGTATTACTTTGAAGAAAGATCTCTATTAGTCATTTAAGACTTCCAACGGTGTGAACTGCGTCCAGGCTTGCTCTATATCTTGGTATGAAACATCTGCTTACGCCAGCTGTCTTCTGTCGAGGTCTACTTTTTTAAACCTTTGGAAATTTTTAGCAAATATTATCATGCGTTCCCAGTTTGCTTTGTTTATGGTCATTTATTGCACTCAAGCCACTTATTGAGAAATGTGCGTTCTTCGATGTCTTCCTCAGCTCCGCAATATATGCAATTTGTTGACTCTACTTTGCACATGCGGTAGAGATACTTATTGAAATATCCATGACTAGACAGAAATTGAAGAAGATAGTAGTTAACCTCCTAAACTTGAAGTTTCTACGTCTAGTAATCAATGAGACCAGCCAGCTTAGGATGCTCAGCGGATAGCTAAGCATTTTTATCGCTCCCCCGGCAAACGGTTTCGGCATCATGAGTTTAGTCTGTCTGCAAGTGCTCACTTACTGACCTACGCTGCAGTGATGTTGTAGTCCAATGGTATTCTGGACTCTGATGTAGAGTGCACGTTAGCTTTAGCTTTTCGAGTAAACTTCAGCTCAAGCTCTGTCATTCATTAGTGTTCTATAGGAAACTTCTGTACTATAAACTATCCACATAGTCTCCAATAGCATCTGCGTTTCTTTTACAGCGGTTTAGAAGAAGACAAATATACATATTTCAATATGAAATGTATACAAAATTATAGTACTACCGATCAATTTAAATCATTTCATATACTTTATGCATTGTTAACCACAGGATGTAGTGTGTTTTAAATAAATTAACCAAACATTTATAAAAAATGCCGCAAATACTAAAAAGGTTTATGGAGAAATATATTTAAAACTGGGTTAAACTTAAAAAGCACTTAAATACTCAAATTGAAAATATTGGATATTGTTTCAAAAATAGGAATAATAAATTTTATATTCAAGCATAAATGAATATTTAACGTAAATACATAAATGTATTAATAAAAACAAAAAGAAAATTAAAATAAAATTAAATTCGGCTAAAAAATTAAAAAAGGCATTACAAAAAATATTTAACAAAAAATCTCAAAATGATACGATTTTTGTATATTTCGAATATATTAAATATAGCGAAAAATTAAATGTGAAATTGTATATAAAAATTTATTAAATAAATTTTTTATTCATAAATATATTATATGTATTTTTATATTAAAAATAAATGCAAGTATGAGATTGATTTGCTTGTAAAAAAAATAAACTTTGGCCTTAGCTTAAATCAGTTAAAGGAAGACATACTTGTGAACACGAGAAATACACTTGCAGAATATCCAAAAGAAAAAAAATGCTGTAAGTTAACAGTTTATGGTGTGAATAATCACTTTTATAAATTTAGTTTTGCAAAATTTACCCTTGAAACCATAAAAATGTTAACACTAAACTCAATTGTTCAGAGCTGCAAAATACATTTTTATTAATAAAAGTTGGAGTGACTTGATTTACTTTATGTGTATGAAATAATTAAGAAAATTAATACATTTAATTAAAAGTTTTCTTTTAATTTAATAAATAGTTTATCCGCAAGTGCCATATATAAAGTAAATTTATATATTTGTGGGAAGGATTAAATATAAATATTGCCCCACTCTTAGCAATGAGCTCTTGAGAAGACCCGCTATCTGACTAAAAAAGATTTCGGTGAGAAATCACACTCCTGTAATCATAGATAGAAAGACAAGGAGTTCAATATATACATATTAATATTTATTATTTTTGCATATTAAAATATTGCTCTAATTGAAAAGACCTAACGTTATCCTAAATTGTTTTTAAAAGATCATTACTGATTATAGTCATTACTGATTATAGTTTTTATGTTTAGCTTGTATCTCCTACAACTCCACAAGATTACACAAGGGATATTGTTATTGTATTGATTTCAGATACAACTATCATTGAGGATATTCAAACATTGGTGGTTCATCCGATTTTTCTCAATACCTGACTTGCATACTTTATAAGAAAATAAAAGGAAAATAAAAGTCAAGAATATTTAAATACAATAAGTTTTGTTAGATGATATAGTTAGTTAGATAATATAAGGGTAAAGAAGCTGGCTTGTAATATTATTCCAAATACTTTGACACTCAAAAAAATATCTAGCGGTATAGAAGCACTCTTGTAATATAACTCCGAATGCAAATAAATAGACCTAAAGTATTTTATGGTTATGCTACTTATAACAAGTCTCTTCCATTCACCATTTCAAAATTGTACTTAGACGTACGCTAAAAGTTCTATGTTATATATGAAATAAAGACAGAGTCATGCAATTATTCACTTCAGTGGATTCGCACACTAATTCAGAATTACACCCTTTCGAATCAAATGTAATATATATTCCGTTACGAAAATATGCTGGGTTTCAAAGTATACTTCTTATACTTAAAATCATCTAAATAACTTACTATCGAAATTCCACCTCCTTTCCAGCATACTCCTCGCTGACCTCATTCAAACCATTATACATTTAATGAAATTTGTAAATATAAGCAATAAATCAATATAAGATTTTTCAAATTTTCGATATTCTTCTTATAGTAGAGCATAAAGCTTTTACCATATATCGAACTCTATCGTTCATATGAAACGTTTTTCGCTCGTGGCTCTGGTCACAGAGTATATCGCTGGCCCAATTCGCGCACTTGCATTAAAACCCTACCCTTTCTCTTACTCCAAATCTACCTATGCCATGCCCATGCTTTCTAGCTTAGTTGAATCTAGTCCCCTAGATACCAAACCTCCCGTTTATATATCTGTCCTCAGATTACTAGAATGAAGTTTCAACGATCTTCTCCCTTCATACCTTAGCAGTGGTTTTAGCGTGTTAAAGTCTGACACTGTGGCTGTTGTTGCTTTTCACCTACCGTAAAAAAAAAATTATCTAAATTCAATCGAGCTCCTATTACAGAGACCACTTGAACAGGTCACAGACATTATTGAGTAAAAGTTCTTCAGACACTAACTCGCGTTTTATCAAGCAAAGATGAAGGAAATTAGATTTAGAGAAAGTATTTAATGTAACAGGTAGACATTTAATGTAAAATTTAATAGTCTTTTAATTAAAAGCTATTTGTTAATTGCTAAGTCCATTAAAGTTATTTTCTCAACTCTTATGCATAATTAAAAATTTATATAAGGAGGGAAATTAAATACTTCAATATATTTAAAATTAAATAGTGCAGAATTTATTCAAATTTTTTTTTCAGTATTTTGTTAAATAATTTTTAATAAAAATCAAAAAAATATATATGTTCAAGTATCTGAGTATCTAAGATACTTACTTCTAATATATAAACTATACATACTGCTGTATTAATGCTTATAAGCAGACTAATAAATTTACACTCACATGTTGATATATGCATACGAGTACTTCCAAACATAAGTTTTATTTATTCATGTATATAACCTTAAAAGCTACCCTGTCGCCTGTCATCCCCCATATTTTATCTGCCCCTAATGTGCAGTTGCTGAATTTTAAATGCTTTTCTTACAGCTTTTCATGTTGTCATCTTAAAATTTTCACTTTTCTTCTTGAAATACTCAAAAAAAAAACGAAAAAACAAATAAAATAAAAAATCTATATATATATGAGTCTAGAAAAATGTGCTAAAATATCTGCCAAATATTTCTTCATCCTGTGCACAATTAGAATAATGCAAAGTTTGCGTTTTTTGATACTTCAAAGCTCCTCAAGGAATAACGTCGAAAATATATTTTAATATGGCGAAAATTGTCTGTGGAATTTCACATTTGATAAATGCAAAAATAATAGAAAAATGTGTCAAATTGTTTGAGATATATTTGCTTTTTTTGCTAACATGAATTATAAAAATAATTTTTTAGCATTTTTTTTTTAGATACTTTGCTCTACTTCGGTATTTTTGTGGTTAAAGCATAAAAGTTGGACAAAAGGTAACTAATAAAATATAACTGACATAAAGAAAGTTACCCACATTATTTATTAAAGATTATTTTTAATAATATTATAATAATTTTTCTTCTTATTTTTTATAAGTTAAACTTTTATTAATATTTTCCTCGGCTTTTGTATCGCTTCATTGTGCTTAGACACATAAAAATCCCTACCGCTCCATTGGTTTCTGGAGGACTCGCCAGCTATTTCGACTAGAATTTGCATATTCCTGCCTCAATCTTCGATGAAAACCACACGCTTTTGTAAATTCTAGAAGCAACTTAAAAATAACTTTTACGAGTTTATTCTGAAATTTACGGCAAATATTTTAATAATAATAACGTAGGCAATATCGATAACCATCGACTTGAACAAAGAGGGACGAGTGAGTCAGGATGTGTGAGAGAAATTTTTGCCAAAATAATTTGCATTTTTATAGGCGATTATTTTTATGCAAAGATTTTTATTAAAAGTTTGTTTTATGTAATAATATTTTTTTTCCTGATTGCAACTTAATGTATGCCGTAGAGGCCAAGAAGTACTGTTTATTTATGAATGTAGACCTA